ACGAAAGCTTATGCTCCCTATACTTCTGTTAGTCTCAAAGGTGCCACAGGACCCTCTGTTGCTTTTTACATTATTTCTGTATGCTATGGAGACAAATTTGGAAGTATGGGGTTAAACACATGGTTTTCTTTTTGTTTTTCTTTTTCAGACAGACTCCAGAGAGAAAACGGTTAAGTCCCATTGACTACTGTGTCTTGGAGGATGTCTGGTTGTGTAACATTTGGGAGATATGTTTTGGGAGACAAGAACTGTGATACAAGAGAGATGGATGATTGTCAGTGTGTTGATGAAAAGAGACTAGGAAACGGGAGTGATGGGTTGTGAGAACAGTCTCCATGAAAGAGAAGGAGTCTGTAGAGTTTCCATGCTGAGAGAAGGTTTGGGATTTCCTCTTCATGGGGTGAGATTTACTCAGAGGCCTGTCATGGCTGGCAGATGAGTCTGGTTGGATACTGAGCATGGGGATAACAGTTGGGAGTGTGTGAAGGTGGAATATGTGGGGTATTTCATAGTGAAGGCTTCAGAAGTGGTTACAATGTAATATTTGTGAGTATTTGTTAACCCATTACACACACAAATACCACTGAGTGTAAGAAAAGATGACTACCAAAACAGAAAAAAGTAGCTTTGAATTGGTTCTCCTTCAATACAGTTCTATTAAACTGACTATACTAGTAAAACCTCTGTAAAGAGCTGTGCAGGGCTCACTGTTAGATGTTTGGGAGTAAAAATATTCTTTTCCTAATAATCTTTTAATTAATCTCATGTCTTGTGTTTGGACTCCAGAAAGTGGCAGTGTGCAGCATCTCTAAAGCAGTGACAATATTCAGAATTTTCTTTATTGCAGAGACAGGATTTATTGAGGAGTTTTACAGTAGGGGGCTGAGTCTGGTTTGGACTCTTCCAACATCATTGGTGTGAGGTATCAGATTAGAAGCTTTTGGGGAGAGGCGCAATATCGGCTAGTTAACCAAACTGAAATTCACAAGGTGTGTGCATTATTTTTTTTCTTTGCAGGGGAACTCCAAGGAGAACTGAGTAAGTGTGTGTTGATTCTTTGAATATAAAAGTTAATCCAATTCCATGGTGGAAAAGTGATGCAAATAGAAATGAAGTTCTCACAATTAGAAATAAGGGAACTGAAGTATCTTTGTTTTTGTTAGAATATTATTTTGATAAAATTTGCTAGGACAGACAGACAAATGCTACAGATCAATTCCTGCTCCCATTGGGTGAAAATCTCTCCTATACAAATAGGCTATGTGTCACTTATATCCCACACATCCCTTCAAAATAGGGCATATGTGATTATCTTCTGCTGCAGAGTCCTAGCGCTTCTCCGCTGTCCAGGGATGAATTTCACCCCAAATAAATCCTTATGTGTCTGTGAATATAGAGGGAGTTAGGCCCTGAAAACGTGTCTCTAATTATGTGATTTGGAATTTGCCATTGATGTCAATAATGGCAGTAGGACCTGTGAGATGTGACTGTGCGTGGATGTCCCACACTCAAAATATGAAATATTCTATTACCCTTGCTGATTTTTTGGTATATCAATTGTGTCTTCTCCACCACCACCACCACCACCCTCCTGCCCCCCTTGAGGTCTGGGGAGGACAAGACACACATTCCTGCAAAGCTTGAAGAGTGTGGGAGCCCCTCCAATGCCTCTCACACTGGCCAGGCCTGAGGGGTGTACGTGCATGTCTTTGGGGGCTGGTAGAGAGGGAATCTCTTCACTTCCACTCCTGACCTAAAGGGCTTGGTGGAGCTAGAGAGGGGAGAGAAGTAGCAGAGACCACATGGATTGGTGCATTGAAATTTAATTTTTAATATGTTTATTAAAAAAGAAAGTTTTAAATTTTTAAA